TAGCTAAGTACAAATTGGAGATAGAACCCCATCACAACTAAAAAATTATATGAAAAGTCTACTTGGCGATAGACACATTGACAATAATCTCTTTTATCAACTATGGCTCCGCCGACTCCCGGCAAAAATACAGCAGATCCTAGCTGTGGGAGATACGGATGCTGATTTAGACAATATAGCAAAGATAGCCGATAGAATATACGAAAGAAGCAGGCAAGCAAGCCCTCCACTTCACAACGTGACGGTAGACGATAGACTTGATACTCAACAGAAGGAAATAATGTTTTATGCCGCAAACTCACAGAATTAACGCAGAGAGAAAAGCCACGAAGGTCATCGAGAGATCGCTCGCGTGAAAGGACCCGGTCAACTTCTAGACGACGCACAACTCCCGCGATATGTTGGTATCATCAAATGTTCGGCTACAGGGCTAGAAAGTGCCTACAACCTTGTAGATTTAACAGGGCTAGTAACCGATACCCACGAGTATCAATGGCAACAGCATCAACACACATAATGCCTGAAAATAGTCGCCTCTTTTATATACAAGACCGAACCACTGGCGCACAATTCTTAGTTGACACTGGAGCGGAAATTAGCGTAGTACCTCCATTTATTGAGGAAAGAAAAAACATTAATCCGTCATTAGTGCTAAGAGCAGCAAACAAATCAGATATTAAGACATATGGTAAACGGAATTTGTCCTTAGATTTTGGACGTGGCGCTTCATACCGCTGGAACTTTGTCATAGCAGACGTATCGATGCCCATAATAGGCATAGATTTCTTATGTAACTTTGACCTGCTAGAGTCTAGACGACACAGACTTATAAACGGCAGTCAAACCACTTCGATAAGAGGAATACTTACGGAAGCCGTTTCAATGAACCTTGTGATAGATAAAAGTCGTGGTGATCCCTATGAATTGTTGTTAAGGGAATTCCCTGAACTCGTAAACGTAACATACAATAAAGCGGATCTCAAACATTCTGTTCAGCATCACATCGTAACGAATGGTCCACCAATCAATGCAAGACCAAGAAGGTTAGATCCCAAAAGACTAGACATCGCAAAACAGGAATTCGACAAGCTAATGAGGCTAGGCATTATAAGGCCATCGAGCAGCCCGTGGGCATCCCCGCTACATATGGCCCCGAAAAAGAATGGAGAGGTTAGGCCATGTGGAGATTACAGAGCACTGAACAAACAAACAGTAGCTGACAGATACCCTATACCGCACATTCATGATTCCACCTACAGTATAGAGGGCACTACTATCTTCTCGAAGATCGACTTAGTCAGAGCATACTACCACATCCCTGTTGCCCCACAAGACATACCGAAGACAGCAGTAACAACCTCATTTGGGCTATATGAATTCCTGCGTATGCCTTTTGGACTGACTAACGCGGCGCAAACCTTTCAACGATTTATCGACCAGGTCATTAGAGGTTTACCTGGAGTATACGCGTATATCGACGACTTATTAGTAGCTAGCACCACTAAAGATGAGCATATAAAACAACTACGGCAATTATTTATACGACTCAGAGAACATGGTATTTCTATAAATATTGAGAAGTGTGAATTCGGAAAAAAATCTTTACAGTTCCTAGGTCACAATATAACTTCTCAAGGCATCACACCAATCGCAACAGAAGTGGACGCCATCAAAAATTATCCCCTACCCGACTCATGGAAAAAGTTACTCCGATTTCTCGGGTTAATAAATTATTACAGACGATTTGTCCCGAATTGCGCGTCAATATTGCAACCACTAACAGATGCATTACGCGGAAACGCACGGACATTCCAATTATCACCAGACGCAATTCAAGCATTCGAGAACGCTAAAAAAGCACTAAATAAAGAAGTGACACTAACTAGACGAAAGAGCGAAACACCGTTAGCTATCATGACGGATGCATCAGACGTAGCGGTAGGAGCCGTTTTACAACAATTAGTAAATGGCATATGGGAACCGCTCTCATTTTTTTCGAAAAGACTGAATCCGACACAAACAAGATATAGTACTTTCGGAAGAGAACTCCTAGCGATTTACTTAGCAATAAAACATTTCCGACATATGATTGAGGGTACCATTTTAACAGTATATACAGACCATAAACCCCTCACAAAAGCATTGAACGCCAAACAGGACAACTACTGGCCGAGGGAAATCCGACAATTAGAGTTTATTTCCCAATTCACGTCTAACATACAATATATCAAAGGTAATAGTAACGAAGTGGCGGTCAACGCTCTCATCCAGTCTGAAATCGATTATCACAAGTTAGCAGCATTACAAAATATCGACGTCGAGTTGAACAGACTATAGTCTGCCAACACAACCTCGTTAGTTGTCAAAGAAACTCCATTGGAAGAAGTAAGCATCACCTGCGATATTTCTACAGGTCAACCAAGACCATTTATTCCAAAGCCGCTAAGGCGAAACATTTTCGAAGCCATGCACAATATTTCGCATCCCGGAATAAAGGCCACCATCAAACTAATCAGCGAACGTTTCGTATGGCCAAGTATGAATCGGGATATTCGTAATTGGACGCAAGCGTGTATAAAATGCCAGAGAGTTAAGATACATCGCCACACCAGTTCCGCAGTAGGTCATTTCCGTCATCCCGATAACAGATTCGAGCACGTACATATCGATATTATAGGACCACTGCCGGTTTCGAATGGCTTCAGTTACATTTTCACTTGCATTGATAGATTCACACGATGGCCTGTAGCTGTGCCCACAAAAGATATTACAGCCGAAACTATCGCAAAAACCCTAGTAGAGCACTGGATTTCCCATAATGGCGTACCTACTAATATCACAACCGATAGTGGAGCTCAATTCGAGAGCCGCCTCTTCCAACAACTCACAGAACTACTCGGAATCAAACGAATTCGCACAACATCCTACCATCCTTTGTCGAATGGTATGGTAGAGAGATTGCATCGGCAACTTAAAGCTTCTCTTACAGCTGTCATTAGCAATAACGATTGGGCCAGCAAGCTACCGTTAGTCATGTTGAGCTTAAGATCAACAATCAAACAAGATATAGAATGCTGCCCAGCAGAGTTGGTTTATGGAACCACACTACGTCTGCCAGGAGAGTTTTTCACCGCAAGTAAAAGCGTCCCAACTGATATAGCGGACTATGTACAGCGTCTTAAGCAGCATATGAGTAGTCTAAGGATAACGCTTCCGAGACAACATCAACGCCGTGTGTACATATCCAAACAACTAAGTGACAATACCCATGTGTTTATAAGAAGGGATAATGTGCAATGTCCCTTACAACCGGCTTACGATGGTCCATTTAAGGTGATTAAAAGAGACGACAAAACTATTACGGTAGACAAAGCTGGAAAAACGGATGTAATTAGCATCGACCGGGTCAAACCAGCTTTTATCGAAGCCTGCGATCAGCCAGTACATACAGATATTGCGAAAACCGTTGAATCATCGAAACGTCAGTTCCAATCATCAACGACATCGACGAACACAAACAAAGAGAATCCAGTAACCACAAAGTCTGGTCGAAGAGTAAGATGGCCCCAACGCTATGTCGCTGCAATCTTCTATTAATAATTTTCTAATATTTTAAATATTAATTATAACTTTCACTTCATTGTATACACATGCATTACTAATTTCACGTTATACGCTATAAAACTCAACATATCTTATGTACCCCTCCACACTTACACGTATAATTTTTATTTAAAATGTAAAGCAATACCGCATTCCTTCTATTTATTGCTATTATTTTTTATAACCTCACGGACAGGCACAAACTAATTTCATCTCAAATTTGTACAAACCATTTTTTAAAAAACGACTGTAACTACACTACTCAGACATTTTTCCATATATCTTTGTTTGCAGGGGGGAGCTATTGTAGTGATTCACGTGCAATTGAGTTTAGTTCAGTCAAGGTCTTTTGTTGACCTATTTAATGGACAAAGTCATCCATGATATAACAACGTGTTGTACTATTTTTTATTATTATGCTTGTATGAAATACATATGCTTGAACATTGTTTAGCGCCTACGCATGTATTCATTCTGCTAGCTTCATTATTAACTGCTTAATCTATTCGCCGACTCATCCATTTTCCTATACATATATATATGTGTACATTTGCACCCATTTACTACTACTACTACTACTACTACAACTACTACAACTACTTGCTACTGCTACAATCGTAGTCCGCTTGCTCATTCATTTTGCCTCTCTGCTGTCTGGTCCGAATTATCTGCTAAATAAAACTGTAGTAGGTGCTTCTTTTTGCATTCTGATTTCAAACATCGTTGAAGATTATACGACAACGGTTCGAGGGTGATTAATTATCGAAGCACAGCCACTACAGTAATAATGACTTTTTTATTATTGTATTGGAAATGCTTTGACCTACATGAGCGAATTCAGCATAGCTCTCAGTAACGTGGTACATACATCCTCAAATTTATTTCAATCTCAGGAAACCACTGTAGGGAAGGACTGAAAAGGTACCATTTCTGAGATGTTAGTAGGTACTGTGTGAAAACTACAGAGGCATCAAACTAGTATCAGTAACAGGCAAAGTTTCCAAATGGATTGTTTCTGAACAGAATGAGGGACTAAGCGAACCCTGACTTAGAGACCAACAAACTGGCCTCCTCAAGAACAGGTCATGTACTGATCATATCGCGTCACTGGATGGTCGTTCAACAGACGAGTGAATGACACCGCTAGCCATATGTCGAATTTCTCGATTATGGTGAGTTTACATAATTATCATACTGCCGTGCAGTAAAACGTAGTTGAAGAGTTTGATGAAGTGAGTGCTGAGAAATCAATTCGTACATACCATTTGTATCGAGTAAATTTAACAACTGAGAGCAAATCACCATGACAACAATTGATCAAATTTTCAAAGTGGAACTTTCGTACATTTGAAACGTACTTTCGAAATACACAGATAGTTTCATTAATAAGCTATCTCATGTCCTCTCACGTAATCAGAGAAGGTCATGTTTGTTCCTATGGTAGATATTCTTTCATACCCATGAGCCAATTACAATAATGTATTTAATTTTAAACTAGATCGAGCAGTAACAACAAATGACACAGTAAGTTATCAACGTTGTGAATTAAACAGCTCATCAACAAATGAAATATTAAACCAAGAGACTATGAATCGCGAAAAACAGGAAGGTAAGGTTATTCTGGTATGATATATTTAATACGAGTTCTAATTGGAATATTTTTAGGTTTTCGGTTATTATGTAATGTATACTCAGGATAGTTCATTTGGTTGCATTTCAGTTTAAAACCACCTGATGATGTACTAATGATAGCTAAAAAGTACGGCTACTGAGTTGCTCCTATATTTACTGTAACAAAGAAAAGGTTATACAAAATAAACATCCCGCCTGTATTGTGTTCTCGGGTTCCTTTTATCTCACCTTGTTCATGTTTTTAACTGACAGTGAAAGTCTTTTCGCTTAGGGTATGTTTAGCTTCAGAGGTTATTGATCTACAGACTGTGTACTCAGAGTGTTAACAATCTTTACGCTTATAATATTTTTTTGAAGATATTTAATTGCGGTTTTTAGTTTTTAGTCATAATAAGCTGGTGTAAGTCAGAAATATCCACATATACTTTTGCCAAGAGCCTCGGTTTTGAACCTGCTCTTTCTGCAATGCTGTAAATTTGCATCATCTTTCTTCACATACCTTTCACTGTTGTAAATTTTTCACCATTTAGCTTATTCCTAATTACATAATCTGCTCATACTATGATTGTTTCGAGTGGATCTATGAGAATTGTCAAATGTCCTGTTGCTAAAAGTCCAGCGAAATCCAGATAGAAAGGTTGCAGCATATAGTATCCCATAGTTTACATTCTAAAAGTCATAGCTTCAGCATCAAAAATGCTAGGAAATTCGGTCTAAGCGCAACCAATAAAGAGTGCAGTCTGCTCCATGTCAAAACGTCTACCTCCCTTACGTATATAAACCTCGGCGCAAATACGTCAGGTATAACTGTTTGGTTTTAATTTGGTACAGTTCAAACCCAAACATAAATGAGGAATGTATGAAAGGGTTTCGCAATAAAGCATCTCTACAGTACAGCGAAAACTTAAAATGAACATTTACAATGATATCTACAACGCTACCAAGGAATTGTTAAAAAAACACAATAATAACTTGTCATACAGGAAGTGTTCCCAGCAACCATTCAGCGGTATAATATCATATGTGCTTACTCAAGCCTATTAACCTTTCAAATACTTGAACCACCGACAAGAAATAATTAATCAGTTCCTTTGAACCTGCCTTTCCGGTAGCCCCTAAATTCTACTCATACTCTCGATGTTCGATTTTGGTTTCTGTGTGTGAAGAATAAAAAATCTCAGTAATCTTCAAAGTTCACACTGTCAAGCTGCTTCCAATTTGTCCATTGCATTCCGTGCTCACCCTTAGTTGCAAAGCGGTTATCAATCAAGTCAAAAACCGGGGGAATGAGGATGGCGAAAATAGACGGCCTTTTGCGACATCAGTATCCACTTGAAACACAATTGTGAGCAACCGTCCTTATAAAACATAACAATTTATTTCTGTAAAATGATAACGATCTTTTAACGAACCATATTATGTTGAAGGATATTCCTAAAAGCTTTTCACACGATCCATACTGTTGAGTGCTGTCCCATAATCGAGAAGTTCGACATATGGCTAGCGGTGTCATTCACTCGTCTGTTGAACGACCATCCAGTGACGCGATATGATCAGTACATGACCTGTTCTTGAGGAGGCCAGTTTGTTGGTCTCTAAGTCAGGGTTCGCTTAGTCCCTCATTCTGTTCAGAAACAATCCATTTGGAAACTTTGCCTGTTACTGATACTAGTTTGATGCCTCTGTAGTTTTCACACAGTACCTACTAACATCTCAGAAATGGTACCTTTTCAGTCCTTCCCTACAGTGGTTTCCTGAGATTGAAATAAATTTGAGGATGTATGTACCACGTTACTGAGAGCTATGCTGAATTCGCTCATGTAGGTCAAAGCATTTCCAATACAATAATAAAAAAGTCATTACTACCACATGTTATGAACAATCTAAGAATATCATCAAGTTTACCATAATAATAAGTTTTCAAAGTGGTCAAAGCTTGATTGATGCTAGTGCACGTTGAACCAACCGTGTGTATCCTTTGATTTTAACGTAGTTAATATTTCCACGAAAATTGTAACTTCTTTAGGGCAACGCCATCATAAGCATTTATTGAATTGTTCGAAAATCCTCCTAGGGCCATAAAAAATGACGCAATTGATTATGGGAAACGTAGGAGTTCAAAACCTAGGATGAAAAACTGTCCAGTGCTGCTTCGATGTTGATGACTTCCTAGAGATGTCAATCTTTGACAAACACAACCTACGAATAATTCAGTCTATAAAGAGCTCCTTTATTATCATTTGAACTCATTTGAGGTTGCTTTGAGACCAGATAATCTTTGATTCACGACTTTCTTATATAATCCTATATAAGTAATCCTATATAAGACAACTTGTAGTCCATTGCATGTATTATAAAATATTATTTTCCAGGAGGTTTCTCACATTTGAAGCAAATTGTACTGATTAATAGCATTTCTTCGAGTAGGATTTTGTTACTTGACTGATAGGAATATTTTATCCATTTTTACAATCGAGCTTGATCAAGTGTCCTTATCGATTGTAAAGAGCACCATCTAAGAACGACTATTTTTACCAGTGATTGCATTTTCCCTGGTAAAAAAACACTCCTATGTAGGTTTAAACGTTTGTCACGTTACTACTGCAAAGTCTATTATCGTCTTTTGAATAGTTGAACTGGAATAATGTGACTGTGATACTATCAATCACATAGGCAAGTTGATGCGATTCAATTTTTGATTAAACTCTGGTCCCTGATCAAAAACAACATAGACAACAGTGCTTTGAATAATTATAGCCTCACATTCCCTTCGAAAGGGAATGATATCTGAAACGGCGAGAGAGTGAAGTTACTGACCGACAATAATTGACGATGAAGTCACTGCTTTCAATCCACTCGTTTTCGTGGGATAGAAAAATTTGTTGTCCCAAGATCTTAATAAGAGATTTGGGGCAATCATTCAATAGTACTGATATCGTACAAATATGATTGCTACTGATTGAATAGCAACTCGACGAATATTTACTAAAACCTTCCTCTGGAATGCTAACAAACTCAGAAAATTCAGCACAGCTCTCAGTAACGTGGTACATACATCCTCAAATTTATTTCAATCTCAGGAAACCACTGTAGGGAAGGACTGAAAAGGTACCATTTCTGAGATGTTAGTAGGTACTGTGTGAAAACTACAGAGGCATCAAACTAGTATCAGTAACAGGCAAAGTTTCCAAATGGATTGTTTCTGAACAGAATGAGGGACTAAGCGAACCCTGACTTAGAGACCAACAAACTGGCCTCCTCAAGAACAGGTCATGTACTGATCATATCGCGTCACTGGATGGTCGTTCAACAGACGAGTGAATGACACCGCTAGCCATATGTCGAATTTCTCGATTATGGTGAGTTTACATAATTATCATACTGCCGTGCAGTAAAACGTAGTTGAAGAGTTTGATGAAGTGAGTGCTGAGAAATCAATTCGTACATACCATTTGTATCGAGTAAATTTAACAACTGAGAGCAAATCACCATGACAACAATTGATCAAATTTTCAAAGTGGAACTTTCGTACATTTGAAACGTACTTTCGAAATACACAGATAGTTTCATTAATAAGCTATCTCATGTCCTCTCACGTAATCAGAGAAGGTCATGTTTGTTCCTATGGTAGATATTCTTTCATACCCATGAGCCAATTACAATAATGTATTTAATTTTAAACTAGATCGAGCAGTAACAACAAATGACACAGTAAGTTATCAACGTTGTGAATTAAACAGCTCATCAACAAATGAAATATTAAACCAAGAGACTATGAATCGCGAAAAACAGGAAGGTAAGGTTATTCTGGTATGATATATTTAATACGACCCTCCGTAAGTCTAGACGACCCTCCGTAAGTCTAGAAAATTTTACGAAGAAAAACTTGTTAAGGAATCCATAGAATGTCCTAAACGCTTGTATTCCTATATAAACCAAAGGACAAGGAGAAAAGGAAATATTCCTGCTCTATGGGGAGACAGTACTGCTTCATCATTAGTGGAGGACTACTTTGGTAAGGCTCAAGCGTTCTCGAACTACTTTAGCAACGTGTATACCATAGAAGCGCCCTTCTCGTCAGCGTATACAGATCCCCCCATACATACACTGGATAGCGTGACCATTAAAGAACTCGATGTCTTTGGTCTGCTAAATAAGCTTGACATAGGTAAATCCACGGGGCCCGATGAATTACATCCTAGGCTACTGAAGGAATTATCTAACTTCGTTGCGAACCCTTTAAGTACATGCTTTAACCTATCCGTTATGCAGGGTCGCTTACCGAAAGATTGGAAAAACGCCATAGTAAGTCCTGTCTTCAAAACAGGCACGAAACACAAACCTGAGAACTACCGCCCTGTTAGCCTAACTAGTGTGGTTGTTAAAATCCTAGAAAAGATTATTCGGAAGGAGCTGTTTAAGTATCTCGATAAAAACCGGATCCTCTCGGAGAAGCAGCATGGCTTCAGAATAGGTTATTCTTGTCTCACTAACTTATTAGTGGCTCGTGAAAGCTGGTGTGCTCCTAAGGACCAAAAGCTACCTGTAGACGTCGCCTTCATTGATTTCAGTAAAGCTTTTGATAAAGTTCCGCACAACCAGCTGTTATATAAGTTAAGACATGTCGGGATTGGAGGTAATTTATTGATGTGGATAAAAGACTTCTTAGTTGGGCGTCAACAAAGAGTAAGGGTGAACTCCAAGTTGTCTAGCTGGGAAACTGTGCTTAGTGGAGTGCCCCAGGGTACAGTTTTGGGGCCAGTGCTATTCCTCTTGTATGTAAATGACCTTCCTTGTCTCCTATCATCATCGGTCTTGCTATATGCTGACGATGTCAAGATATGGAGAACGATACGATGTAAGAGTGATAGTTTAGAACTTCAAAATGACTTGAAGAAGTTATCTGAATGGTCTCAAACATGGCAGTTGCCGATAAATACTTCCAAGTGTGTTGTGATGCATATCGGTCATCAAGGCACAGATACATACACGATGAATAACACTGAGCTACCTGTCGTCCAGACATATAATGACTTAGGAGTTATCGTTAGTCAAGACTTAAAGACTACTGCACACTGCCGTGCAATAGCCGCCAAAAGTTTTAGAACGTTATGGTCAATACGTAGGGCTTTTAGTCATGTCGACACTAAGACGTTTTTGACTTTGTATACAGTGTTCGTTCGTCCTAAACTTGAGTACTGCATACAAGCGGCTAGCCCCTGCTTTAAAAAAGACAGAGAGCTTCTGGAAAAGGTTCAGAGAATGGCGACTAAGCTGGTTCCCGCAATAGCGAAGCTTCCGTATGAATCTCGACTGACCAAGCTGAACCTTTTCCCGTTGTCATATCGCAGAACTAGAGGCGACTTGATTACAGTCTACAAATTGCTTAGTGATAAATTCGCACCTAACATGCCCTCATTTTTCTTGTCTTCCAAAACAGAGAGTTTACGAGGACACTCCAAAAAGGTTCATAAGCCGAGAACAAATTACTTATCAGCTGACTATCGACTTTCCCATCGAATCATCGACGAGTGGAATTCACTACCTCAGCACGTGGTTGAGGCTCCATCCGTCGACTCTTTCAAAAGAAAGTTGGATCAACTGAGAGACCACCATTGCCAGGACTAACATAGGCCATCGAGCCTCCTGTCCTTCCCAAACTGAAACTGAAACTAATTGGAATATTTTTAGGTTTTCGGTTATTATGTAATGTATACTCAGGATAGTTCATTTGGTTGCATTTAAGTTTAAAACCACCTGATGATGTACTAATGATAGCTATAAAAGTACAGCTGCTGAGTTGCTCCTATATGGGCACCTACAGCTATAGCTAATATGTTAATCAAAAATTGATGATCAATAAATTTCAGAATTCAACTGAAAAAGTATGGTATCTGTGGCATATTACGACTGTTGGATATATTTAATATAGGGTCGTGGTTAGCACCCCAATGAACCTTAAAACCCGAAGAAAAATAATTATACAGTTTTCACTGACTTTCAATAGTTAATGAATAATAAAATCGCAAACAATTGGTCAGTTTTGATGGACAAGAGATGAATGACATGAAACAGCAATAGCAAAACATCGAATGACTTTGACTAGGGTGAGAAAACCCTGACGTATTATATAGTATAACATCAATACCTCTGTGAAAATATTTTCCAGGCTGCAAAAGACCTTTAAAGCAACATATTCTTTGAAGAATCGTTAAAAAATTCGTTTTTCTTCGTCTCTCACAAATCAGACACATCCAATATAACTGGCGAATATCAAATAGAATTTTTCAAAACGATATGGCAAGTTGGTCGAAACAGTAATACTTCGTCGGTGAACTCAAAATGATCAGACGCCCAGTCAATGAAGTAATGTACATGTTCTAGTATTTACAATCAACTCTAACAACACTTCTACAGATGTTTGTTTAAAATCCACGAGAAAAAATGGTAGGCACAAATCGAACAACACACTAGAATCGGAAGAATAATCAGAAAATAAGAAATCAGGCTGGAACCTTCATCTGTTGCCTACAGTAGGGTTTTTAATTCACCATCGATGACGTTCTGACAACAATTTAAGGACTGAACTGTTACCCGGTGTGTTGTCTTGACCGTTCGGCCCCAAATGTTTCATCTACAGCGACAAAATAAACTGCAATATTCTCAGAAGCGTTGGGAGAAAGCTCGGAAAATTAAGTCATTAACATCAAAAGCATCGTGATTTGTTTACGCCGCTAACTTCTCATAAAGTAATGGACAAATATGAATTTACTTTCGTAGAATCCAAACTGAGGTTTAGACTGAAGAAAAACTGTCTGGGTAGTTTGAACATGCTTTTTTCCCCGTTGAAACCAAAACAAGGTGACGGTTCTAGATTTTATTAAAAATATAAATGTACGTTATTACCTAAACCAATATTTCCACCCAGTTACTAAACCAATGATTGTTCAATTAATAAGCAAACCAATCGCAACAAACAAATTTTATTCTAGATAGTTATTCTGGATAGATCACGTACAGATTCGTTCGAATGATAATATTTGGTTGCTTTATAAAACAGAGTGTTTCCAATTCTGGAAGAGTGCTTCAATTCACAGTCGAAAATGCACAATTCCAGTCAATGCAAGCAACACAATCAAAAGGGGGAACAAACTAATATGACTGTCGCCAAGATTAAGTACCAACTGAAACAACATAAATGCAGTTCATGAAGGAACATGGAATATCAGTGAAGGCGTAAGAAAAATGGAACCTATAGTAAAATACAAGTACTAACAAATCAAATGGAATAAAAAGCTAACAAAATGAACAACTGAAGGAATCAATAGGAATAAATTACACGTGTATACATGGAGGGATTTTCACGCACAAAACCATCAAAATGAATCTTGCAACTCTATTCACGGTGCATCTTGAACACAGAGAATTCTTCAAGCATCAGCAAATAGGACTATTTATTGACCCTGTTGCTTTAAATACTACTGTAGCTTGAGAGCAACTTACGAGGAACGATGTTGACTAAACAGTTAAGTCTGTTGCAAGAAATCTCTGCATTATTGGTGTTATCGACTAAATTTAATCAAATAGAACAATCGCCTGTTTTAGTATAGTAATGTACAATTACACAATAGTGGTTATTAATGATCATTAACGCGATATATTTCGCAAGATTTTAAAGGATCTGATGGGAGAATCACAAAACCAGCTAGAACATTTCACAAGCGTGATGGTTCAATAAGAAGATGATCAATATCGATGTCAACTTATAATCAGTATGTAAATCAACTAGAGACCGTTGACGTAAAAGAAATGAATATGTAAACATTGTAGTCATTTAGAAACACCAGTAATTATCTACAAATCAAACCGTTAATTCAAAGAGCCAATTCACTTCAAAATTCATCCACTCAACTTTCATGTAAATCTTGTTATGGAGCCTTAATCTAGTTTGGGTTACAACCGTACAATGTTGATCCATCCGTAATATCGAATGCAAATGTGAAATCGTTAATGTTTAGTCATAAATTAAAGCAAGGCTCGCCCACGAAATGGGACGAATCGCGTTGAAATGACCAGAATTGTGTACTTAAAAAGCATGTGAAGACGGTGTTAATATTGCAGTTATAGTTCAAATATTACAATGCCTGCTATAAAAAGTAACATTGAGGATTACCTGGTTTACTAAGGTTTTCCATGGTGGTCTAGCTTCAATTCACTCATAATCTCAACCATTGAAATTACTATAATATCCACAAACACCCTTCTCTGATAATAAATTATTGTTGACGGAATGTGGAAAACTTCTCCACCATCTTATATAATAAATCTACAAACGAATATAAATGGGGGAAAAGTTAGTGAGAATTGATCGTGGTTATCAGTGGAACCCAGAAAGCTCATTTTCACTCATTTGGGGTTCCTTAGCTCAATATCCCTGCATTCTGGTGTTGATATAATACATTGAGACTCAAACACAATACCCTTCGCTTTAAACACTCCACGTGTTATTCATGAGCTACTGAGTCCAGAAAATCACCAGCTTATCGAACGAACATAATTCTTATATGATAGACACGACCTAAATATCGAGGCGATCATCATTTGATGTGCATATAACTACAAAATCCATTCCGACTATCAACGAAAACGTAACTCAAGCTCTTTCTAATAATGATATGGAGGAGAAAATATTAGGAATATTGCAGTTTTTCTCTGGTTACTAAAAACCTTGTTCTTTTGTCAGTAGTTTCTCAGGACCAATATGATGTAGTTAGTTTTGTCAGGTCTTCTGTTGATGATGATGACAACATTTAATGTCATTCTTAATAATTTATAATTAACGTTCGGTAAACGTCTACAGAACAAATAATGGATTTAAACGTATTATTAGGGGAAGATGTATTAATGCTCCGGTCTATATTTTGGTAAAAAATGCCTAATGTAAATTTCACTTTCATGTTAATTAAAGAAGAAACAAAACGTAACTGTTTACAGTGGGTAAAATAAGATATTGATTCAGAGTATAGGAAGTTTCATAGCTCCGTCAGTGGACGTCAAAACTAATGGTTTTGGTTATTTGTCTTATCTTTTCTACTATCTCAATCCTGGACGCTGCTCGAAGAGCTAAATATGTTATTAAGACTACTTTAAATAGCCTAACTATTTATCTTAACTGTAACGGCACAGAGCCAATATTAGTTCTAGATGATAACCACAGTTAAACGGTATACATGAGTAGTGTTCACCAAGAATTACACAAAATTTTTTATCAAAAGTAAAATGGTGAATTCGATTCTCAAACTTTGTAATATGTGTTTATTTACCTACGCACATGGTTTAAAAAATATAGAAGAGCGAATTTCGGGGAACATAAGGTATAAAACTCCTTCTCCGAATGACTACCAGTTGGTTATTTCTAGTATTCTTTTACGCAGTATCACTATACTGTTGTTTTATTTTTCTTGTTTCAATTTGTAAATTATCCTCGTGAGGACTTATAAAAAATTACATATAAACAAAATTGTTAAATCTCAACAATTATGCGTCCTTTAAGTGGTAGGTTCACCAGACGTTACTCAAGATGCATTCAAAGCGGAACTTAGGAAAGACAATGAAATACTTCTTTCAAGCAATGATCACAATAACATTGAATTAAATTTAGCAGAAGATGAAACATATGACTCTGATGACTCTAATGCATATGTGAGAAGACGTGTGGCAGAACTTAACTTGGAATTATCGAAGGAAAAAGAATATTTTGCTGATAACTATGAAAAAAAGACAGGACGTGTAAATTTTCACCCACAACTTTTTTATTCACGGATAATAAGCCAGAATAGTTGTGAAGATTTAAATGATTTTAGCGAAGACGAAATAAACGAGTTGAAGAATGTAAGTCATAATGAAGATGATACAATGAATAAGTCAATTATGAACGCAAATCCAAGATATTCCCAACAGCGGACGTCTGATATACCAGGACCTGTTAATATCAGTGAGAATAACTTAGGCGGATATGAGTCTCTCATCTCAAAAGAAAATAACGTAGAGGAGGCCGACAAAAATTTAAATGACAGTAAGTTATCTATGAAAGGTTTGAAGATTAAAAGTTCTCTCTGATGGAATTGAAGTTAAATAGACTCAGTAAGACTAAAATCAGGTTCAATTAGTTGTTTTAATCATTTGAACAAGTTGATAATATATTATATGAAGTTAAAAGTCAGTTTTAGTGGTCATATGGTCACTGGAAACAAATATTGTGAATAGACTACTAAGTTAAAGACTCATATTTGATGAAACTAGTAAAGCAATAGGATTTTAGTTTGTTTGTCACTTTTTGATTCAAAGTGTATGGAATAAATCGTCCATATAGGTTACAAACTAACTCAAACAAGTAAGTTGTATGATGTGTTCTACCACAGCTTATTCCAACTAGTTCTTTACATTATATATGAACGGTCACAGAAAAGTCACTTGAAGAGCCGTGCTAATTCGTAGTCAGATATTTATTATTAACTAAATAGGGAACTGTTTTTGTTGGTCCATAGTATGATTTAAATTACTAAATAAAAGTGTCAGATAAAAAGGCTTAAATTTAACGGGCCGAGTGTGGTGTGTGCTACTTATATTGACATAAGTAGTATATGATGTTAGTCGTGAACAGAAGTTCTGGCAGCAGAGAGACAAGAGGATCGAACAGTAAACAAAATGCAATTTGTATGAAACTGCAAGAATAATGAAGTCTGAGTCATTTTGAGACAATCTATGGACATTTTGCAAATTAAGCATTTACTTTATCATTGTTAGATTTTATTAACAAGTCCTGTAATTTCGTGTTAAGTACATTCGATTATTCCCCACTGGTGTTTGGGTTCACTATTCGAGAACCTTAATCACTTATTAAAGAATATGTGTAACTGACTACTTTTAGTCAGAACTATAATTAAGTATTTTATTTCTGCTTTTTTTACAACTTAATTTTGAGAAGGATTTATGGGTAGCTGGAGTATTCTGATGGATAAAACAAGTTGAAACAAAAATATATGTTAATCTATCCGGCTTCAGCAAAATAATTTCAACTTTCACGAAATTTTTGTTGTTCAGATAAAATCTATAAATGCGAAAGAAAACTGATAAGCGTTCGCCACTCCATTCATTCTTTGGTTTAACGAATAGTTTGCTGGACTTTTTTGTTAATTGTATAGTTTGTAAGTTTAGATCCGTTTGCCTCCCATTTCACAATATTGTTTTAAATTATATATCCTGAACACTCATATAGGAGGGTTTTCAGAGTGGCAGACAAATATCGAAGTACATCAATATGGAGCTATAATGTCATGGTAGTTTCATACTAGGACAAAACGGCCGTCTAGTGCTTACACCTTTTCAGTGGTGCTCTAACATTCATCCATTAATGGTATCAACTTAAACTCAACAATCTCCACAACCTTATACTGACATTTATAAAAGGCTGGCTTTTAAATAAAGGCAACAAAAATTTACCGGTCTAGAAGAAGAGCTGTCACTCACATTGTTTATACAAAAAACGAGCAACAAAAGCTATCTTAGCAATCAGAAAATTTGGTGAAATCTTTATATTGCACATATTTTGGTGATAAAGTTAAGAAACGGGATTACGATTTAAAATGCAGTTTGCATAACAATATATATTTTGCCTTTAAGAACCAGGGTGTTCATGTTCATATTTTGGTAAGTGTATTATTATTACGAAATCGGATGGTTTATGACAATTTTTTTCTTCCTTATACACCGAGATGATTCACCTAGTGTGTTAAAATAAATACATTATTTTTATACCACTATCTTGCGTGTTCCTCTAATTCATGAATATCGTATTTCGCTTTAGCCATTTATTTTTCCGCTTTCAATTAAAATCGTTTTTGTTGAATAATTTCTTTTATCGTCTTGTTAAGAATAACCGAACTTTAATCGCCAAGACTTGCAAAGACATCCAGTAATCACCCAAACTTATTGATTTTCAGAAATTAGAGCTTTGCGTCGACAAAAACCAACTTCTTGTTATATGTCATTATGGGGTTGTGAAGATCATTACGTTTTTGATTGAGATCGTGAACGGATTGATGTTAGACCACCACTAAAACCTTGATGGCAGTTTCGTCCTATTGCGGGACTCCCCAGCAGTGCACATCTACGATCCCGCTCGCGGGATTAGAACTCAGGGCCTCAGTTTCGCGCGTGAACGCTTGAACTCGAGACCACTTGGTCGGCATCCAGTGGTGTTAATGTCTAACCTCAACCGACCCACGAAATTGTGCGACCATAGTCCACTGTACTGAGATAGATACCTGTCTCTACTCGACGCGGAATAGCTCAACTGGCTACAGCTTCTCAAAAGAACTTCGACAATCCCCTCACGAAGGTAGTCACTAGTGAGCACGTGGTAATGATCATTATGGGGTTGTGGAGATTATTACGTAATAATTTCCAGTGCTTCCAGTGGTGGTCTAACATCAATCAGTCCAAGATCTCGATCAAAATTCGTGGTATATTTTGGAAAGGCGTATTCGAATTAGTAAACGCAAGGATGCACTTGACCAATAATTGGAAGATAATGAGGTAGTCAAAATGTGCAATTAATCAGAAACGTGTAGTCCATTAGTCTAGATAAGAATAAACGGAGAAAACACATTTTCGTGAAACTGGATTCAGTTTGGATTATGCAATATGAATTTCATCATATGGCTCCTCGATATTATTTACCAGTTAACTTTATTATTTATTAAGTTTACATGGTTAAAATATTTTAATTTCCAACTTAGGTAAACAGACGTTCAAGCAAATGATCAATAACTTGTTTTTAGATACAAATGTTACAGATGAAGTAACAAGGACGAAGAAGTACCGAAAAACTCCAATCAACGAGCGAGATAACAATATTACTAAAATAATAACTATGCGTGTAAGTGATCAAAAAACTGAAAGGACATGTAATTCTCAGTTTCAGAACAATAATGATAAGCCGTTAACCGAGAAATCGAAGGAAAATTCTATCCAAGTAAGTGATAAATTACAAGGTTATTTTCATTTATCTGAAAACAGTAAATTAGTAGTCGCATTCTGCTCACAACAGTTTTTTGTCGACCAAGTATCAAGGTCAAATGTGATTAGCACTTTGAGGTATTTACTCAGGAGATGAGTGGAGAATTCGCAAAAACCCTGTAATCTTTAATTTAATCCTTGGTTTTTCGATTATTAACTAATAAGTAACTTAGTCTTATCTTGGTTATACATATACTAGAATTGAAAAATGTTAGGTGATTTATAGTTTCAAACATTTCTAAATGGAAAACAATGCTAAAGAAAGCTTCGATTGATCTAACACTGATTAGCCGTCCGCCATAACTCAGTTTACAGTAGATTTATTTAATGTTTCATTTCATTTTTTCGAAAATGGTATATTTAAACAAAGAAACTGTTTTCAAAATACACTACTGATTTTCTGAATTCATAAAGGTGTGGCATCGACTTAAATATCAGGAATACATGGAAGTTAAGGTGGAGGAGAGGGAAAAACACAAAAGAGAACATATTCTTAAAAAAGGTTAAATTCTGATAACAATAAATGTAGTACAATATATATTTGAAAAAATAAATAAGGAAACCCTTAAAATGAATATATTCTTACACAAAACTCGTCTGAATTTCCATGAAAATTAGATTGCAGATAAAAAATCACGTGATCAGAAATTATCAAACTGGTTAAGAGCTAAAGTTTTACAAAGAAAAAGTGAAGGGGAAATGAGACGATATGAAAATGAAGAACAACAACATCTGAATGTTGTGCATTCCAGAGAGGCATGTGAGCAGGCATTCAAACAGTAAGTTGGCACGATTGTTAGACTATTTAGTTTGTGGTGAATGAATGTAATCTATAATCATTTGGATTTGTGAAGTGTTGTGTTCTATGGCCTGCTAATTATGTCACGTGTTTAGATTGCCCAGTTAAAACAGGGACTCCCATGACCTTGATACTATACCAGATCAATGACGGATTAAGCAGTACGAACAGCGTATGGTCAACTCTGAGTCCAGAACACAGCTTCTACTATATGTATCGCGTATTTCAGACATATGCGGTTTAAATACAAGCAAATTAGACCGCATCATACTATGAAGTAGAAAACAGCAATTATACAAGATCTGACCAAATGTGTATGAGTGTGAGATACTGTAAATAATAAATTGGTAATAACTTAACAATAGTAAATCGTATAATAGTAGTCAATAGGTCAAATGGAAAAGATATGAATATATGTATAAAATACTTAAGTTATCCAATAAGAACGTATATATGATAACAGTCCAAAAATAGTTCCCAGAAGTCACCCATAATTTAATCTTCGCTAGGATATAAGATGGAGAAGCTGTAATGTCGACTATTTCCATTAATATAGTCTACAGAAGAAAGTGAACCGTGTTAGATTAAGGACCAACAAAGTATGCACTTAAACGAAGACCGTATCTCGTTCAGCTTGTTATCGAGGTGATATCACATTTACCATAAGTATTAGTAGTTAAAACAAAGTCAACTGTTTGGTGTGGTATTCAGTAAAGGATTTTAAAAAGAACGAACTAAATAGAAAACAGCACTTTCCACTTATTGGTCTAATGCATATTCTGGATTATCTTGTAATTCATATTGAGTGACATATTTGGACTGCAAATTTAAAGCCTTATTATGACCCCCTTTTTACTGGAAGTTTTTAAAGGTAAGGTTAACCCTTGGAAATACTCTGAATCTCACTGAAATATTCCAATTTCAATTAAAAGATACTCAATATAAAAATAATACAAAGCTATAGTACGTTAACTCATTCACCAAGTACTCTACTATGTTACATTTCAGCTGCCCGCCGTGCAAAAACCGGAACAGGCAAGGGGGTTCGAGACGGACTAAAAGGTGACTGCCTTAACTACTAGGCAGCCGCACAACGAAAGCTACATAGAATTTTGTTTAGATAATTTGTTTCCGTAAACCGTTATTATCACACTTCGACAATGAAGGGGTATAATTTTACTTTTTAATTCTAAAGAACAGCTTATCATAAACATTTGTGTGCTTGATTGAACATGTGAACTCTGACAAATTTCAGAATATTATGTCGAACGGGACGAAAGGTTAGGGTACCTTCTTAATTCACACTGTAAAGGAACTATATTCATTTTACAACCGCATGTGTAGTCCAAAAGAAAGTAATCGCTCTACAAAATAACCCTATAAGGAGTGCGCGTTTTATTGTGATCTGTTCAGTTGAACAAAACTTTACACAAAAAGATGTTTGTACATAAACTTCTAGAAAACAGCTGAAATGCCTCTTCGCTTCATATAAATGTAGACTTCAAATCCGATCTCAGTATTTAAAAACGTTTCCGTTTTAGGGTAAAAAAACAATGAAGTAGTGTAACATCACGGCTGTGGCTTACACACAAAGATAATGCATTCAGCGAACTAATTGAGATATTGCTAATTTATAATCACGCCAACTTAGAGTGATATTTTGTAGTGTGGGATTTTTATCATAGAGTTGAACAATATTTCAAGGATTTCACTTATAGCACAATTTCATTGACTTGGCGAACCTTCTATCTAGTTTCAAGAACCATACATTCAAGGTGATGAAACCAGTTTTAAATAGGAATCCACATTAGGTATCATTACCAAGGTTTGATTTGATAATTTCAAATTAATTGAGCATTAGGGAGATTGTTATAAATAAATAGTATATTTGTAATATCCCAATGAATAGAAAAATTAGATTTTCTGACGATTCGTGGCTTAGTGTAGGACACTTCTTCAGAGAACAAATAATCAAATTAATCCAAGTTTATTGTTCTGTTGGACTATTTAAACTTGGATTAATTTTAATTTGGTTCTTTATTCTCTGAAGAAGTGACTTACACTAAGCCACAAAACGTCAGAAAATCTAATTTTTCTATTCATTGGGATATTACAAATATACCATTTATTTATAGGAATCCACATTGTTGCACGAGATTAAATTATAGAATCCAATTTAATTTAAAATAACACCAAGGACTTTTTTCTCTGATCAGGTGGCTGAAGAGAAAAAATCGTGAGGCGAAAGAACAAAAACGGAGGGCGAAAGAGCGGATGAAAATCACACGACAGTTAGTGAGAGGTAATCATGATTGGCAACAGTTCATGAAAAACATACGAAAATTCGACGTATTGAAGATCCTACTTTGAGCAAAAATATTTAATCCATTACGTGTTGCACAATGCATGTGGTTTCGACAAGTCGAAGCGGAAATCATTTTCACGTTCATTTTTACTGAGTACGCGTTCGAAATGTTGAAAATTAGGGTGAGAGTATTCGATATGTTTTATTGTAACACAAAATATGAAGTACTTTCTTATTAATAGACTCGTCTTATTCCATTGTTTACCAAAAAATGTTGAATGTAATATCTTCTATATATGTAAGCCCAGTTGACGTAGCAAGCTAAAACGATCATTCAGGGAAGCCCTATCTACTGCAATAACTTGACTGCATTGCCCTCACAAGTGCTAGAGTGTAACATTTATCTGACCGTCGAAACCGACTGATAGATCACCAAGTAGGATTTTACACAAATGTGTAGTTATCATATTTAACATAACAAACGTCTCAATAAGATGAAACTAACGATATGATTAGTAGAAAGTGGGAATCAGATGCAGTAGAGAGCTCGAAATGGAAAACACAAAAATGAACAAATAAGGTCGAATAATCCAAAATACAATGACCACAATCGGTGTAATGTGAGGGGATGGAAGCAAAGCTTTAAATCGAAACTTAGGGTTCGCCAAAGCTGAGAATAGAAGTACCATAGGAAAGGTCAGGGACTCGAGATAGCCTTGATAACTACCATTATCCGTCCAGACGATGGGGAGGTGAAAGCCAGATTGGAGAATATTTCAACCATACAGATTGTGATTCTGAAGACTTCAATTATCAGTTTGGGTGCTTTCCCATAGAGAAATCATTTCTAGGATCAGAGGGTGTCGGGTGACTACTGGTCAAATGAAATGGACAATCTTAGGAAGTATTACGCAGTTTATAACTAATTTTGGTTAGTATCACTACCCATCTGACGTCTCTGGTATACTTCGCTGGACAAAGACTGGTGCATTGACTTTCATATGTGATGCTGTGCAAACCATGTATGACTATGAATTGTGACAAAATCACTTTAGGTTTAACTAACAAATGTCTAGAACAAGTTAGTGTAAACCTCTTAGTGGCACTCACTCTTGCAACCATATTATACCAAACTAACCTAGATACGAAGATAGACGTTACTTCGTCGGAAAGTTTTAGAACTTACAGAAAGCGGCTAGAGAAATCCTGCGAACATGCTAGGTATAAGTTACCCCTAAAGTATTGACTCGGGCACATGGTATAAAACAATGTTCAAATTACAAATACAGTACATCAGTTGACTGATCACTGCACAGTGACCAATGTCAGGTTAATCTAATTTTTCAGTACTGATAGGATTTTATCGATAAAGTTGCAATACAGTCATTAGTTTGAGTGACCACACATTGCGTGTCCCGTATTGAAATGACTGGTGATTTGAGGTACTTAGAAAGAAACCCAGGATCTCCGTTTCGTGCTAGTAGGCACTAGTTATTACCTCCAATCTTGAGGGGACTGATGATCCCTTTGGGTTTCCTCCCGCATACCCTTAACCACTTAACATATCAGCATAATACATGCGAAGTCGACATGTTCAAACTAATGGTCGTATTGTAACTTAATCGATAGAATCCGATCAGCACCAAAAGACTAACTTGGCATTTATCACTTCATAGTGGTCAATCAATTGTGGATATGTCTTATAGGTTGGTTCCCCTCAATCTGTTCTCAACTAATGACAGTTTCACCATACGTCTTTAGTATGAAACTCACTCGGGATAATTATGTATAAGGATAGAAAAGTGTTATCTAGTTGCCCACAAATTTCATAGTGACCAGTGCTGAAATTCAATTCAATATACAATGAGTTTTAACTGTCAATCCACTGAAATTTCATGCAATAAACTTTAGGTGAGATAAGTTTCTAACTGGTGTCAATGGAAGCAGAAATCCCGTGCACAAGACTGAAAAAATGAAGAACTTTTAATACAATTTCCATTTCTTTTTTAATACATGGGATGTACACACTTAACAGGGAGACGTTATTATCTTTTGAAACGTGTAAGAATAAGATCGATCCAACTATGACATCCTAATGGAGCAAGAAGTTTGTAAAATTCATCTAAAACATAAGAAGAAATTAGAAATACATCATGCGGATACGATAAACTAGTTCACAAAAGCTGCACAATCAACATAAAATTAGCATACATACAGGTTAGATAGTGAAAGTTAATGATATCCCTGAAAGCATAAAGATTTTCTCCACAACTATGTAACTAGGTCACATTCTATCGTTATGGTTTACTATCAAAACCTAGCAAAGAAAACGTTTCGATCTGTCAGTATGAAAAAAAACTAGTTCGTCTTTTTAATGAAGATATAAAAAAAAACTTGCAAAGATAAAGGTCTAAACAATAGATACAAAGTCTTTTGAATCAAAGGAACAAGACATGATTCTCGTGAAATCGTATGTGCATAATAAAAAGACAAATATAAGCAATGACTGGAAGAAAAAGACTTGAATTCCTTAGTTGGATTAAATCCCAAAACTTGGTAATATGAAATTCCTAAAATTTAAAATCCACAAAATAGATGGAATGTGGCTAACAATGGAATCAAAGACGCGCGTTTCTCCCCCCTAATCAAATTCCACTTATTGCATAAGACACCAACTGCGTCGAGACAATCAGCGAAGGATCCACATATGGCAGCAAATACTGATCAGAATCCATCACACATGAAATTTAGATTGTATCTTCGAATAACGTGAGACGATTTTAAAAGGTGAATTTTTCAGAGAAAGGCGTAGGTTTGTGATTGGAATTTTGTGCAAACATGCATTCTAGTCTATGTATAGAATTAAAAAGTACTTTTAGTGACACAGTATGTTGTTGGTACCTTTTCAATTTGTATTTCATAAATACTGTTTGTGAATGTATCACAGACAAGCAACATGAGAGTGACGATTCTTTGACACTATCTGGAGTAAGCAACTTCTACTTGTAAGCGCTAACAAGGCGTTTCTACATGAAAGTACTTGTGTAGCATGCGATGTTTTCTACAAGAAAACAGTCTATGACCGTATGATTTAGTCATCGTTGATATGCAGGCCTTAATGACTAGTATGATTTAAAAAATTAAGATGCGGATGGACGACACTGATCAGCAATCAATCGAAAATACGTTCACATGAAAATTTCTGAACTAGTAAGCAAATAAATACACGTTACGCAGGTTTTATTGATTAGTATGTTTTTTCTAGCATATGTTAAGCTTAAACGATACGTATGATTTATTATAGGATTTATTTATGCAATTGTTTGAATAGTTACGTTTTCTCACTTGAAGCTCAGCTAGATATTTGCAACCAAGCCAAATCCAGTTGGCTCACTCTTCCTAATCATTAACTTTTAATCAGTACAATGAAACATAATCAGTTATGTAAAAGTTGCAGATAGTAAATGTCTTCGTAATTATTTACTATGTATGATAAAAGTATAATATAATATAACAATACGCTGAATGCAATTTTTCTCGTTATCAAGTTTAATAGATTAACACTTTAAACACATATCTCTAGATCGATAACCGAAATAAGTTCTATAAGCAAAGATGGACGGTGTTTAGCCATGGAATCCAGGACGCGTGTTTCGTCCTATTTGGGACTCGTAAGCTAAATATATCTGCATTCCAGAGTTGATGTTCACTCCAGGACAAGTCCAAAATAAGACGAAACGTGAGTCCTAGATTCCACTGCCAGTCACCATCTTATTTCCGTCTATAATGATTGTGAATTCAGGTAAATATTGAGGCAATCCGTACATATATCAATAAGAGACTGATCAACTGCAGTCCTAAACATTAATCGGAAGTTTCAAACAAATAATAAAAAACGAGAAAAGCTCGTTTTAGTGAGAAGAGATTATAAAACTAATATTATTTAAAATGTTTAAAAAATTACCTGAACTTAAATTGCGTATCCGTCCACTAACCCAACAGATTTGCATAAATTCTGCTAATCTAATGATCATTAGTTCTAAAAGGTCTATTTGTTTATCCCCTGACGATTCATGTTTCGGTAGCGAACTAATCAAGTTACACTGTTCATGAACTTGAGTAATCATTGATTCCAAATAGTAAAATTCTTTTGTATACTCCATCTTTCGCGAACATGTAAGAAGCCAAGTTGAAAATCCAGACTGTCCGGGAACTCCACTGCCATGACGGTGGGAAGCAAGACTGGCAGGTTCTGACAAACACTTATGAGTATGTAGTGAAATTATATATTATTTTATGACAACAGAATAATTTAACTTTGATGTACAACTAATCAAATAAATATGAAAAAGAGTTGACCAGCAAATACAATACATTCATAAGCGATACTACTATTGTGAGAAATATTGAAATCTAAAACGAATGAATTTCATGAACAGCAAATTGAAGGTTTGAAAGCCTATTAACTCGGATGAATGTGCACAATTTAGAAGAAACCACCTAATTATACGAAGTTGTAGTCGTATTTGAGTAATAAGAACGTCAGGAGAATTTTTTAAACACTAAACTTATCCCTATACGTTGAGAAACTGATGACATATTTAGCACAAAAACATGATAATTTAATAAAAAGGACGTACTACGAATCATCAAATAAGATAACAAGTTATCGATGTTATTTGGAAGATTACAAAATACTTTGAACTGAGTTCCAAGAGTATATATATATATATATTCCCAAAATGGTTCATAAGAAGTGAATGATCCAAGTGTAACTAGAACAAGATATTGATGGACTAAACAAAGAGCCTCATGTGTCATAAGAAATGCTTTTGTTAACTACTTTCTTTAGCTAAACCATTCAGGAAACCTGATGCACAAACACAAAAGGCCTACAACAACGATCTGCATTACCCTCCTGAAACTATCTAAACGAACGCCTCGTCAGTTAAGTTTCATTAATTAACGATGCGATACGGTGTCCACAGACTAGTTCTAACAATCAAGTAATAATTGATTGAAGGACGAGTGACCTACAAGCTCATTTCTCCAATTGCCTATGATA